CCCCCCCCCCCCCCCCCCGGCCTTTGTCCAAGAAGCCGTAGTAGCGTTCTCAAAGGTTTTTAAGCCGACTTGTAGCAGCAAAGGGGTAGTTCTCTACGTCTGGGGTAACTTTTAGGGTCCCTTTTCTGGGGGTGCCGTACTTTTTCTGGGACCTAAAAAGGCACCCCCTGTTTAGAGAACTACCCAAAGGTGGGCTATACCGCCACGCGCNNACGCGCATGGGCCGTGCCGTCGAGCGTACCTATGAAGCGGGGCAGCGGACTTAGCACGTCGATTCCTCGAAAACTTGCGGCCTAAAGCCTTAACCCCCAACCCCTGAACCCAGAAAAAACCCCTACACAAAACAACAAAAAGGGCTAAGTTCCTAAAGCTGGCAAGGATCATGCGGTTTAGGGTGTTTCTTGGTCTGTCCGTGCCCCTGCCATCCAGAAGTACTCTTTCAGGCCGAAGTGTTGAAGAGAACCAACTTCTTGGGGCATCCAGCCGCTAGACCCCATACTCGAAATCCTAGATGTCACTAAATCGGGTTTAGGGGTTTAGGGTTTACGGCTCAGGGTTCTTTCAGATCTCAGTTTGGGTTGTCTTGCACGGTAGCTCCGGGAGCAGTGGCAGGTTTCAGGTTGTGGCGGAACGCTGTCGAAGTGATGCACAAAAAGGTTTGAGAGTCAAAAGAGGACTGTGGGTATGTCACAGGGTGTACCCCCGGACACCGATGGAAGATTTGAAGCTGGTATCGAAGCTTAAGGCTTAAACTCCACCTCGACTCTCGGTACCAAACCACGACTGGGATTGAGATGCTGCCCGATATTAGGTATGCGGATGGCTCCATCCTGTTCGAGGGCTCGCGCCTGCAGGGCGCGAACAGGATCACGTCCATGGAGATTGATCCGGTGCCTCCCGCCCCGTCACTGGAGTGTCGAGCACAAATCCTGGTGTCTCGAAGTGGCAAAGCGAGTAACAGGACAGAGCAGAGCTTTGCAGGATCGCGCTCGTGAAACCCTAAACCCGAAACCTGATACTCCTAACAAGCGGCGAGGTACATGCGTGCATCGCGCGGCATGTGCTTGACATGAGCCGCCTCTCGCACATCGTCGAGGCAATGGCCTCCAGCACGATGGTGACGGTGAGTTGTGTTTTTCATGAAGTCTTATAAGAGTTTCCCCTAAACCCTATAGCCTATACCCCAAACCCCAAACCCTAAACCCTAAACCCTAAAACCGGCAATCATGCTTTAAAAAACCTAAACCCTAAAACCGACACCCTAAGAGTCTCGGATTTGCAGCATTGCCCTGAACCCAGCGCCGGATGCTTACGGGGGCACAGACCCTGCGTCTCCCGTAGATCATGCCTGGAGAGCCCAGTACCCCTGAAGTAATTAAGGAATTATACCTTAAAAGTATCATATAATTAGGGGGCCTTGAAGGGATCTATAACGGAGTTAAGGAATATACCTTAAATTATAGGGGGCCTTATTTTTATATATTGGGCTCTCTGGGTGCATCATCCCTAACCTCGAATCCAAAGCAGATCCGTCTGTTGGCCACAGGTATGGATTGGCCAAGTCAAAGATCTGATCCCTCGCTTGACAGAGGAGACGCTTTAATCGGCTTCAGGTTGGTCCTTTTCAGGGTTCCGACAGGCTTGCTATATTATATTATATTATATTATATTATATTATATTATATTATATTATATTATATTATATTATATTATATATTAATATATTATATTAT